TAATGCTTTGTTTTATTTTTCATAAGCTTAAAGTGTTTAGATGGATTTCACAATGTCGTCCTCCCTGTGGGGCTGGGGTTTCAAACTGAGAGCCTTACACCTACTGGGAAGACACTACCACTGAACTACACCTTCAGCCCTCTTTTCATATCTTAAAAGTTTGCAATAAGCACTACTCAGGAACTTATGACATGTATTTTTTTGGTTGTTTTCACATACAGTTAAGGTACAGATCAAACAATCGGAATAGTTCAAACATAATTACTTCACCCCTTAAAGACATTTTGCTTAGTATCAATTTGCTAGTAATTGGACTGGGAAGATTATTTCTAAGTGTAATAATTTTGGTTGAAGATAGAGCTGTATATGGATGGAGTTGGAGAATATAATGCTAAGTGAAGTTAGCCAATCCCCAAAAAACAAAATGCCAAATGTTTTATCTGATATAAGGAGGCTGATTCATAGTGGGGTTGGGAGGGGGAGCATGGGAGGAATAGATGAACTCTAGATAGGGCAAAGTTGTGGGAGGGGGTATGGGGGTAGAAAAGATGGTGGAATGAGATGGACATTGTTACCCTAAGTACATGTATGAAGACATGAATGGTGTGAATATATTTTGTATACAACCAGAGATATGAAAATTTACACTCTATATGTGTAATATGAATTATAATGCATTCTGCTGTCATATATAACAAATTAGAATTAAAAAAATAAAACCTCACATGCACAAAAAAAGATAGAGCTATATTACAAAAATTAAAAAATAACTGGTGTTGGTGAAGTTGTAGAGAAACTAGAACTCTTGTCCACTATTGGTGGTAAGGTAAAATAGTGCAACCTCTATGGAAAACAAAATAGAAATTTCTCCAAAAAATAAAACTACCATATGATCCAGCAATCCCACTATTGGGCATATTCAAAAGAATTAAAATCAGGATCTCAAAAAGACATCTGCACTCCTGTATTCAATGTGGCATTATTAAAAAAGCCAAGATATGAAACAACCCAAATGTCTACTAACAAATGAATAGAAATAGAAAATGTGGTATACACATACAATGGAATATTATTCAGCCTTTTAAAAAAAGGAAATCCTATAATTTGCAACAATAGGAATAAACCTAGAAGATATTATGCTATGTGAAATAACTTCTATTTGTATATGGATTTCACAACGTGAAATGCATAGTCTGTATTGTTCAGGACCATTGCCCAATGCTGAGACAGAGACAAGCACACAGCTAACTTTCAATAAATATCTCTGTTTTAGTCAGTTTTTTTCATTGCTGTGACTAAAAGACCCAACCAGAACAATTGTAGAGGAGGAAAATTGATTTGGGGGCTCATGGTTTCAGAGGTCTCAGTCCATAGATAGCCGGCTCCATTCCTCACGGCTTGAGTAAGGCTGAACATCATGATGAAAGAGTATGGTGGAGGGAAACAGTTCACATGATGATCAGAAAGCAGAGAGAAACTTCACTCACCAGATCCAAAATATATACCATGAAGGCACTCCCCCAATGCCCACTTCCTCCAGCCATTCTTTACTCATCTTCAGTTATTCCCATCAGGGGATTAATTCACTGATTAGGTTAAGGTTCTCATGACCCAATCGTTTCTCCTCTAAACCTTCCTGCATTGTTTCAGACATGAGTTTTAGGGGACATCTCACATCTAAGCCATAATGATCTCCTTCTGGAGATATTTGATATATTTGGGTGAACCATGTTTTGGGGGGATTAAACAAAACTGTAGCCTGCCATGGTGGCACAAGCTAGTATTCCCAGTTACTCCAGAGGTTGATGCAGGAGAATTGCAAGTTCAAGGCTAGCCTCAACAACTCAGCAAGATCCTGTGTCAAAATAAAAAATAAAAATGGCTAGGGATATGGCTCATTGGTAAAGCATTGCTGGGTTCAATCCCCAGTGGTGGGAAAAATAATTTTCCTTGAAAATTTAAAATAAAAATTTTGTCATACATGTATTATATACATGAATCCAAGTCACATTAAGAAACAGGTTTAAGCCTTAGTAATGAAAGCAATTTTTTTCTTTTTTATATATTAACTTTATTTCAAAGGATACTATCTATCTTCAAACATATAGATTAATCTTTATCCTGTGTTACATATTGTACCTTATGTTCCATAGGATAACAGTTACAGATATTTCAATTCAAAAAGAGGGATTGGGGGCTGGGGATGTGGCTCAAGCGGTAGCACGCTCGCCTGGCATGCGTGTGGCCTGGGTTCGATCCTCAGCACCACATACAAACAAAGATGTTGTGTCTGCCGAAAACTAAAAAATAAATATTAAAATTCTCTCTCTCTCTCTCTCTCTCTCTCTCTCTTTAAAAAAAAGGGGGGGATTAGAAGAAAAAATAAGAGTCACCAAGCTGGGTATGGCGGGCACACCTATAGTCCTAGCTACTTGAGAGGCCAGAGCAGGAGGACCACTAAGACTAGGAATTCAAGGCCAGCCTGGATAACATGGCTCAAAACAAATAACTAAAACAAACAAAAAAACAAACAAACAAAAACCCCAAGTCATTAATATATAACAATTTTGACACCCATTTGGGCAAAATGTTAGTTTTTTAAATTAAATTTTAAACTCTAAGAATAATCTTTGGTATTCAGTTTGCCCTTTGGGTTCTTGGTTCTATCCTCTGATGCCTTCTCACCTTTTCATGAAAGGTAGCACATATTTACAGATGAGACACTTGTCAGCCTGCTTCCTGTTGGTAGAATTTTGTAGGATCTGAAAGCCTTGACATACTACCCAGTTCCAAAGCCAATCCCACATTTGGATTAGTTTTCTATAACTGCATGAAAAATTTAGCAACTTAAAACAAGACATTTTCTTACCATTTCAGAAAGTCAGAAGTTCAGGCACAGTTTACCTGAGTCAGGTCAGGTCTTACCAGGCTGCAATCTACTGATTTTCTGGGGATGTATCCTCATCAGAAGCTCAACTGGGAAAAGATTTGCTTTCAACCTCATTCAGATTGTTGGCAGATGTCACTTCCTTGCACCTGTAGGACTGAGACTTCTGGTACTACAGTCCATCATAGCATCTGGCTTCCTCAAGTTAAGCAGAAGAGTCAGGCTCCCTTTATCCTCTGAGACCAAGTTTTATAACAAACATGACATAGTCTTGGGAATGACCTCCCGTCATCTGAGCTATAGTCTATTGGCTAGAAACAAATTGTGGGTTTTACCCAAACACAAAGGCATGACACTGGGGACCACCTTAGTATGTATCCACTACATGTTCCTTTGCCTCCACTGCACTCTTCACCCTGGCAAAAACCCCTCATGGCCTTTCATATTAATATCTTCAATACTTTTCAGAATCTGACATAGCTCTAGATAAAAATTTAAAGCTGCAGTTTTCCAATTTTTGTTCTCAGGACCCCATTACACTCTTAAAAATGTTATCCAGCTTTTGTTTATATGGTTGTTCAGTGCCAGAGCTGCAAACACCCCAACATACAGTTAACTGATCCCAAAGAAAGAATTTGGAAGACTCAATGTAGAGGTTTTGAACATTTTGTCACTCAACATTTTGTCACTCACGCACTCCTCATCAGCAGCAGGCAGAGATACAATGGAGGGCTGCTCATGTCCCTACAAGCAGCATGCTCACTGTGAGGTGGGATTTCTTCAGATATTTTATAAGTACATTATTTTTTTAAATATTGATTCCTAAGTTTTAGGTAGACACAATATCTTTATTTTACATTTATGTGGTGCTGAGGATCGAACCCAGTGCCTCTAGCATGCTAGGCGAGCGCTCAACCATTGAGCCACAATCCCAGCGCCTATAAGTACATTCTTTTACTTCACAACCAGAGGTCCCTCTGCTTTGGTTCCTACCTGAAGATTGGAGTCAAGGGAAAGAAGCCGGCTTCCTTTCCATTTCCTTCTTTAGAGTCCTTATCTCATTGCAGTCTTTCCTAGGCACTGATTAGTGTTTAATCCAACAATGGGCTACATCTATTTATATTTACTTTTTAAATAATTCATTTAAAAATAGTTACAAGGCAGGGGGTGTGCCTCAGTGATAGAACAATTGCCTAGCATGCATGAAGCCTAGGTTCAATATTCCCAACACGAGAACGAAAAAGAGAAAGAAAGGAAGGACAGGTAACAATAACTTATTACATATTAACATACGTAACTTTTAAAAATAGTTACATTTTCCAAAAAGTTTGCAAGTTTACATTTTTGCAAAAATTTTTAAGTGTCTGGCTTATTAAAAGGCAGCTGAATTATTTTATCTGCTTTCACATTCAATTACAAAGCATGAAGCCTCTGGAAAACTCCACTGTACATTCACCACTCAATAAGAGTTAAAAAGGCAAAAGTCTTCTTCACTTTATTATCATGCAAATAGGGTGACCTTGTGGGCCTCTGAAAGGATGGTGGGGGCACCCACGCGACCTCAGATCGCTCTTTGTAAATCACTGATTGAAAGAAAAGTCATGTGTTGAGAGAAGGAAGACACTTGGGATTCAAGAAAGTATTTACTGGGTGCCTGCTCTGTGCAGGCGTTGTTCAAAATGAACTAAATAGATCAGTGCATGGCCGTAGTTTGCACATGGTAGGACCGGCTGGAGTTGATATTTGAGCTGAGACTTCAGTGACAAAGAGCCGGCTACACAGAGATCTGGAGAAACAGCTTTCCAGACACTGAGAGAAGGCCCTCCAAAAACTGAGCCTGTCCGGCTCAGGTAGCCAGGAGAGGTCGGAGAGGTGGGCAGGGCGAGATGGGGCGGAGCCCAGGTAAGGAATTTGGAGTTTTAAGTAAATTTCTTAACGGTGTAGGGAAATACCGGGAATGGTGGGATGGCTAAAAGATGTTTGGAGGCCAGGAAGGTCGTCTAGAAGTCAAGCACCCTCCCCGCCTGCCTGCCTCAAAACGGCTTAGCGGGGTCAAAGCGTAGGAGAAAACGCGCGTGCTAACTCGGGGAAGCTTGGGTCTCGGCGCCCGCCGTAGACGTCGTGACAGACGCGGCCCGTTGCCTTGGAGCCCGCAAGGCGCTGCTAGGCCTCCACCGCAGTGGAGAGCGGGGGCCGAAGGCCTCAGTCACCATGTCTGTGTTGGACGTACTTTGGGAAGACCGCGACGTCCGTTTCGACGTGTCCTCGCAGTGAGTCTCCGAGAGGCCCCAGGAATGCACTGCCTGTAGAGGGCGCCGCGGTGCGAATTCTGGACCCGCGAGCTGGACCTGCGCCTCTGCAGCTATCTTCGCGGGGCGAGGGTGGGGGGTTATCGCCTGCAGCGATAGACCTTCTGGTCACTGCGGCTCTCCTGGGTCTGGCTCTACCGTAGGGAAGCGGCCAGATTCTACAAGTTCGGTCCCGCGCCGTCTACGGTCGTGTCCTGGCCGCGGGACAGATCAGGAATGTGAACCCCATGTGGCAGGGACCACCCAGTGATTTCAGTTTTGTGTGGTGGAAAGAACTTAGGCCAGGGATTCAGGAAACCAGGCTCTAAGACTAGATCTGTGATAATGACACACATTGTGGGCCTTTGGACAAACGACCTCAGCATTCTAACCTCAAGTCTATAAAATGAGGGGAGTAGGAGTGAGCATTTTTCAAAGTTCCTAACAATATAAACTTTATGTATGTAGTAAGAAGCTCATCTAGTTATTAATCTAAGTCACCAACCGGAAGATGGAATTCTGCTTTGGAATCTCTCAAACAGAACTCCTGTTTTTGGAAAATATCATGCTTTAAAGAGAGGATGGTTAGAAACCACCTTTCCAAAAGTCCCGGGAGGAAAATTCCCATTGGGATATTTAGTGTTGGAAATATTAAAGTAAGGTTCCTGGATTAATGGCATGGAGCTTCTGGCCACTTCCTATGGTTCCTTATCATGGATAGTACCTCCTTAGATGGGAAAATTAAATATTTATATATTTCTCAGGCTTAGTTGTGGCTGAATACAAAAACTAACATGCTATTAGATTCTTTATGGTGTTGGAGAAAAAGGAATTTGTAAAATTACAAGCCATAGTTACATATTACACACATTCTATGACTTTTTCTGTTATTCTTGGAGGACTCTTAATCCAAACAAGTCCATTTCATGAACATTTCAGTTTATTAGTGATTTACCAAATGCTTTTATATACTGGTTATTATGCTGATAGCTATAAATACAAAATAATAGGAAATAATACTCATGTACCCCTCCCATTTAGTGCAGGAGATACACATAGACAACTATAATACATGTGATAAGTACCATTCTTGAAAAAAATGAACAGAAGAGAACAGGAACAGAGCAAATCAATATGCCTAGGGAAGGCTTCAAAGAAGAAATAATTTGCATTGGACCTTGAAGGATAGCCAGAACCTTGTCAGTGTAGACAGAGTATTATAGAAAAAAAGGGCGGGTGGACTAGAAGCAGAGTCTTGGAGGTATATATAACCCTCTTTGACTAGAAGGCAGGTTGTGTGCAGAGACAGGTTAGCTGTACAAACAGAAATGTAGGTTAGCTTCAGCTGAAGATTTTGGACTTCATATCTCAGCAGCTGAATGACATGGAAGACTTTTAAGTAGAAAGTGATATGATCTTATCAAGATTCTGAATAACCAATTGAGTTATCTCTATGGCAAATTTATTAGAAGGCTTTAGGCAGTTCAGTAGTCTCTTAGTTCCTTGGGGGTGGGTTGATTGGTTGGTTGGTTGGTTGACAATCTAGAATTGCATCAGTCAGCAAACTATTCTTCATTCTCTGTTTCCTTTGTCTCATGTATTTAATTGCTTGACAAGTACTGAAGATGTTTTGCATATAGTTCTTGAAACATTCCTTCCATAATTGCCTCATGTCCTTTCCTCTACTTAGAAACCTCTATGGGTTTCTTTTCCACAGAACAAGCTCTATACCTATTAGGGGATTCAAGGTTCTTCATTATCTGGTTTCTTCTGAGTTATCCAAACTGTATTTCTCACACTACTTCTCTTCTTCCCCAGCCAGGCCTATCTTCTCATATGCCCCAATCTTTTCTGTTTCTGGTCTTTAATTATGGACTATCCTGTCTTTCCCTTCTTAGTCCTCCAAATCTTACTCCTTTCCTTCTAGTTCTAGCTTACTCTTAAGTGGCCTTGGTCACTCCAGGCATCACTGATCTCTAGCTTCTTGAAGACCTTATTTTCAAATGTATGAGCACTTGAGTACGATATCATCTATACTGTCAGCTGTTTCATATACACATGTCTCTTCTCCCCCTAAATAGATTTCAAGCAGATAGAGTTGTAGTTATAACACTAAAATGTTTATATTTATTTTAGACAAATGAAAACCAGACCTGGGGAAGTCCTTATTGATTGCTTAGATTCAATTGAAGATACCAAAGGAAATAATGGAGATAGAGGTGAGTATATTTGCTAATGTATTTTATATTTCTGGTTTAATTTACAGGTGTTGATTCATATTAGCTGGAGAATCTATGAAAGAGCATCATATGTAAATGTAATTATGAAAATAGAAGAGTTAAGCGCACAGGATTTTTTTTTCAGACTTAAATAGAAGAAAGAGTAGCCAAGGGACACAGTTTTCCTACAACTTCAGTCCATCAGTAAGCCCTGGTTTTGATGTCACCTTTATCCTACGTAACTGTTAAATCTAGGAGCCCTATTTGTAAAAGTCATGGAATAGTTCTGACCCTTGGATCTGCCTGCTTAGATAAGGATATGGGGTAGTGAATGCAAGTAGGTCATAGCTGTGATATCTGAAGCCATGCTTCCTTTTAAGAAATCCAAGAGTAATGCACAGTACTTAAAATTGACACCTAGAGCGGGACACATGGAGAGAATTTCGTTTGCATTGTGAGCTCAAGTACTGTGTGACTTATCTTTTAATAAACAGCAGCCATGTCTGGACTGTAGAGTGCTCCCAAACCAAATTTTACCAAGATTTGAACTTAAAGTCCAGGCTGCATACAACAGCTGTCAATGGAACCAGTAACCAGTGATCAAGTTGTCCTGAAAGCATCAGTACTATTTTTCAGTGAAAAAAAAAAAAAAAAAAGAAGAAAGAAAGAAGAAGCTTACTGCATCTTAAAAGTCTGGGGGAAAAGAAGCATAGGAGGGAGGGAAGCAAACTTCTTCCTGGAAAGAAGAGAAATGAAAAGAGGAATACACCTGTTGAGATAATAGGATCAGCATATACTAGGGAAAGAACAATAACCCTTGTGGCAGAGCATGCTGATGGCTTTTTGGGTGGCCACTTCCTCTGGGAGACTTTCTTTCTTTTGACTTTCTTTCTTTCTTTTGGGGGAGGGCAGTATTAAGGTTGAACCCAGTGATACTCTACCACTCAGCTGCATTCCCATCTCATTTTTTATTGAAAAATGATCTTGCTAAATTGCACCTGGCTCTCTGAGCCTTTCTTTTGGTCTGCTGTAGGGTAGTATGAGAGCAGCAAGTTTTGCTAAGTCTTTCTCTGTGAGGGGAACCTTTCATCACCATCTGCTACTGGCAGCCTATCAGGCTAGGGTCCATCCTTAAAGGAGTGCTTAGAACGTTTTTGAAATGTTTCCTTGTACAGTCAGACCCAGGTGAGGATAAAGTAGTAAGATCTAACCACAAGCAAAAAGTCTTGGCTTGTACCTTTGAGAGTAGAGTGACTGTACCTTAATGAAATCTGGATTAATTTATGAAGCCAAGAGAAATTTGGTCATTCTTGTACAGACTGGCAAGAACTCTTACTTGACAGTCCATCCTTCAATACCAAGATTATGATTAATAGAACATTTTTTGATTCATTAAGTACTTATTGAGTAAATAATCCTGTACTAGTATTTTGGAGGATGGGCAAAAAGCCTCCCTAGTTGGAACTCTCCATCACAGTGCCTGAAATCATACTCTTAATAAAAATAAATCTGTGTGTTTGCACAGACCTCAAAAACCTTTGTTTAAGTAAAAATTTACTGGAGTTTGTAGAGCTTCTGGTTGATAAGGAGGTAGAAAAGGGAAGGTGAATCCTTCTATCCAACCACCTACCTCCCCTTCTTTCATGCAGTTTGAAAATGACCAAGTTAAGACATCAAGTTCAGGAGCCCCAATTTTAAAACCGTAAGTACCCCAGAAGATTAGCACATTTAATCCATGTTCAACTGTAAATACACTGCCATGAAATTATCCAATTAGCTTTGTGCACTGAAGCTGTGTGAGAATAAAATGGGCAGGTCCTTGCTGTTTGTTCGAGACTATTTTAATTGTTCTCTCCTCTTGTCCTTTTGGGTCTGGGCTGGGAGCAGGTCTGCTGGTTTACCCATGGTTCCTAATAACCCTCTCATATTTTTGTGATCAGTCCTTTTGCAAATAAACCTCTGTTATTTTGTTAAGTGTGCCCTCTATTTTCTCCTGAAACCCTCATCATCTTTGATCTTGTGTGATCCCTACACTCCATCCCTGCTGGCTTACATATTATTTGTCAAACATAGTTTTCTCATCATCCAAATACTAACCAGGCCCAAATCAGATGAGATTGGGCACATTCGGGGTGGTATGGTCGTAGACTTATTTGTCAAACATAAGTCTATAATTTTCCACAATCTCCCTTGAGGAATGCCTTCCTTTTTAAATTTTTAGTACCTCCTTTTCAAACTGGGGATGTAGTTCAGTTGTAGATCAGTTGCCTTGCATGTGCAAGGCCCTGGGTTCAATTCACAGTACTGCCAAAATTTTTTTAAATTTTTCATAGAACTTCTTTTTCTACCCCATCCCATTCCAGTATTCATGCAGGTCTAATTTTTCTGATTGTAGCCATCCTAGGGATTTTCAGGAAGGAAAGAGTATGATCTGGCTATAGATTACTCATCAAAAGAATTCTGTGGGCTAGGGTTGTGGTTCAGTGGTAAAGCATTTGCCTATTTGCCTAGCATGTGTGAGCTACTAGGTTCAATCCCCAGCACCACATTAAAAAATAATAAGCAAATAAAATAAAGTTATTTAAAAAATTTATTAAAAGAATTCTGTGGTTATAATTTCATGGGTAAATGTTATGTTTAACAAAGTTAAATGGATTTTATTATTTCGGGAAATCTCAAAGCTATCCTAATATGCTAATTACATTGTAAATTTCTAAGACACATGGTTTACTATGCTCGGATTTATTTGACTTTTTTCCCCTTGGGGCATCTATAGGAATTACTATTCTACAGGACATACTTTGATAAATTAAATATTTCTAACTTTATATTTCAATATAAAAATATCAGGCTGATGTTCACTTCAGCCTATTCATCTCACATACAAAAAATTAGGTATATAAATGTGGCTCATTAAACAAGAACTACTAAGAGAACACTCATTTGACAGGGATTAGTGTGTATATCAGAGTTCATTGAAAAGTGGTTTTTGTTTGTTTGTTTGTTTTGGTACCAGGGATTGAACCCAGGGACACTTAACCACCAAACCGCATCCCCAGCCCTTTTAATTTTTTGAGACAGAGTCACACATAGTTGCTTAGGGACTCGGAATATTGCTGAGGCTGGCCTTTAACTTGTGATCTTCCTGCCTCAGCCTATCAAGCCCCTAGGATTGTAGGTGTGTGCCAACAAACCCGACTGAAAAGTGTTATTTCAGTGAATAGTTTTGCAGTTATACTATATCATAACCATTCTTAGTTGTACACATGTGAACTGCTGAGACCCCAGAAAACCTTCCAACAAGACAAAACAAGTCCACAATTCTCATTCAATGTGAATTAAGGTAGTAATAGTGAATACCTGTGTCCCTTCTACAACTCAGATTTTGTTTCTCTGAAATTCTGAATCATACATTGTATAACTTACATAGGATAGATGTGTATGAAAAACATACATAGGTGTTGCTGCTGATACCTCACTGTGTACTGCAAAAGTGTGTCCTACTTAAACTAATTAATTTTTGTTTGCTTGTTTATTTGTTTCCTTTTAGGAAGACTCTTAGTAACAAATTTAAGAATTATATGGCACTCTTTGGCATTGCCCAGAGTCAATCTTTGTAAGTATCCTCGTAAGATAAAACTCTAAGGAGAAGAATTCCTTCTCATGGAACTTGAATGGTAGTAGCTTTTGATACCAAACACAGCTTTGCCATGAAATTTGTGGAAGTCTGGAATTACTAAAAACTTCAGAAGTCCTGGATTAACCACAGATTACATCAAAATACAAAAGAAACAATCCATTCTTATTTTTTAGCTTGTCCATTTTGTGTCTTAGACATGCATAAGATTAGGGATTTTATACTGATTTTTTTTTCTTTCTTTTTTTCCTTTGACAACTTGGTATATAATCTGTGTCAAGAAATCCCAAAAAAGGGAGATGTAAGCTTTAATAAAAGTAGAGTCTTTCATTGTGTTAAATTTGTTTCACTTATTTTAAAAAACTATTTTAGGCAATTCAGCTAGTCTTTTTCTTTTGGTTAGTGGTGTTAATATTTTCACTGAATAATGCTGTATAGGTTTTATTAAAGCAAATTTCCTTTTCCCCATATATTTGTTTATTCAAAGAGGCAGAACCAAATCTCTAGTTCTTTTATAATTTACTTTTAAATTTATAATTATTTCATAAAAATTTTTAAAGTTTTTATTTCTGTTTATGTTTGAGTTTTTAAAACTGTTTAAAGTTTTATATATATATATGATATATAGATATATATTTTAGAGTGTTTTTTTCTCAGTTTACTTTATCATACTCCTTAAATTCTTTGGTTTTAAATTTTAGCTATCGGTTACAACTGCATATTGAATATTACAACAAGGACTGCTAACTCTGTAAGTCTGAAAAATCATATTGAAATATATGTATAGTGAAAAAACATTAGAAATGTGAATTCAGTGTTCGTTTTCACTTAATGAGAAATTGTTCTTCAAATACAAACCTTTAAATAAATTTGTCTTTACAGAAATTACGAGGTCAAACCGAAGCTCTTTTTATACTAACAAAGTGTAACAGCACTCGCTTTGAATTTATATTCACAAATTTGGTTCCTGGAAGTCCTAGACTTTTTACTTCTGTGATTGCAGTACATAGGTATAGTATTTGTTTATGGATTTTTGGATATTTTAAGGTAATTTTATGACATAAAGTTTTAAAGGATAAAGTTTAGAAGTATGACACTCTCTTTCTCCAAACTTTATTGCAAATATCCTGAAGATACTTAGAAGAAAACATTCTTATCATTTAATAAGCACTCTGAAGGAATTTATAAAAAAACTTGTAAGGACTACTGAAGACTCATAAAAATTTGTAATGAAGATTCTATTAAATTAGCTGCCAAGGTAAATAAAGTGAAACAGAGATTTCATTCAATGTCAGTGAGTTGGATAATTCAATTAAAGAATTAAAAGATCATTTTTATACAGAAATATACATATTAGTATTTTGTTTTGTCATTTGTTGATTTCTTCTCTTTTCACTACTTTGATTTTTTTTTTTTAACCAGCTTTATATACCATGAGTTTTGAGAAAAAGTTTGATTAAGATGACAGGATAAAATATTGTTTAATTTGTATTTATTTTATTATTAGTGATGCCAAAAATTTTCATATAAATCATATATTTCTGGCTATTTGTAGTTTTTGATTATAAATTTTATAATTATACCATTATCTGTCATATTTCTTAGTTTCTTTTCCCTCTTCATCCCTCTTCTTCTCTCCCCGCTCCTAGAATCCTCTTTGGAATTTGTATAGATTCATTCAGTTTTCTGTACAGAAGTAGATGCAAGCATAATGTTTTCAGGTCACAGTAAGAAAAGTTAACTGGACTTCTATTTATATTAAAAGATGATGATACCTTTGACTAAAATAGGGAAATTAAGAAAGGAATAGGTTAGTGAAATGAAATGTATAAACACTACATTAAAATGACAGTCACTTAAAAACAGTAATACTATAGTAACACAGCCACAGCAATGTTTATAGCAGCACAATTCACAATAGCTAAATTGTGGAACCAACCTGGATGCCCTTCAGTAGATGAATGGATAAAGAAACTGTGGTATATATAAAATATATATATTGTATGGAATATTACTCAGCATTAAAATTTAATTTATCATAATAATTATTTCAATGATTTACTTAAGTACTAACAACTATACATTTTAGTAGATAGGTAAATGTAACTGATCAACTTCTACCATTGTATAATATTCATGTGTCATGAAATATATTTCTGTTGAATTTTTCCACCCGTTTAAAAATGTTAAAATCACTCTGTATGGGCTATTCAAAAAGAGATGGCAGGCCAGATTTAGCCCCAAGGCCATAGTTTACCTATGCCTGTTTTAGTTTATAACTTAGATATCACTTTTTGAAATCTTCCTTTTGTGTGTTCCTTATGCAAGCCTGTCCTTAACAATTACATTCCAAAATTATTACTATTCTAAATTACATAGCTTGTCTATATCCTCCCCCATTAGATTGTGGGCTTTATAAAGGTAGTGATGGAATTATTCTATTCACAGTTAGTGAACACATTTTCAGTGTGGACTGGTCTTTTGTTTCTTCTTTTTTATAGAGCATATGAAACTTCTAAAATGTATCGTGATTTTAAATTGAGAAGTGCGCTAATTCAAAACAAACAACTAAGATTATTACCACAAGAACATGTATATGACAAAATCAATGGAGTATGGAACTTATCCAGTGATCAGGTATTATACAAAAAAACTAATGAACCTTTTGAGACTTTGTTTTGTAATCTTTTTTTTGTTGTTGTTCATCATTGGGTTTGTGTATTCATTCCACTTTGTTAAAATTAGGCTGAGGTTGTGACTCAGTGGTAGAGCACTTGCCTAGCATGTGTGAGGCCCCGGGTTCGAGTCTCAGCACCACATATAAATAAAATAAAGGTCCATTTAAAACCAAAATAAATATATTTTTTTTTAAAAAAAATAAAATTAGCATTATTGCTCTTGATTTATTAGTATTATAGCTTTTGATATGAAATGCTATTCTGGTTTTAATATTTTTATGGACTTGTGCTCTTTTCAGCAACTTTTGTTCTATGTAAAGTTGAGAGCTGGAATAGACCTTTGAGATCATGTTTAATATAGTCTCTCTTAACTCAGATGATAAACTGAGGCCCCAAAGAGTTAAGTGCCCTTGCAGGTGTAGCTCATCCAGAGCCATAGTTTTCCCCCTATATTATGCTACCCTCTATATTTTAATAACATAAGCTGATGGAGGAGAACCATGGTATGGACGGTCATAGAAGCCTTTTAATCTGGTATTTAGGGAACTAAGCATATACTCATTTGGTGAACCCTTTAACTCATCATTTTCATCTGCCCTTAAATGACCAGTTGGAACATGTAAGCAATTAATAATTGTGGAATACGTTACACATCAATTTATAGAGAAAATTTTATCTCAGAATAGTTTTTAGATTTCATGTATGTTACCACCTAGATTAGACTGATAACCACTGTGGTAAAGCTATGACATTTGAGTGAAGAGCTTCTTGCTAAGAATTAAATCATGCTCAAACTGTGATAAAGTTTCTATAGGACATAGACAGTTTCCGTTCTGAAAACTCTTTATCTTTTAGATAAGAGGTGAGCATACTTTTTCTTTGAAATGTCAGATAATATATTTTTTACACAGTTAAGGGTCTGGCTCAATGGTAGAGTGCTCTTCTAGCATGCATGAGGCCCAGAGTTCAGTCCTCAACACCACAAATAGGTAAGTACATATGTACATACTGATATTTTAGGCTTTTCAGGCCATGCAGTGTTCGTTGCAATTGCTCAGTCTTGCCATTGTAATGTGAAACCAGCCATAGACAATATATAGAGAACACATGGCTGTGTTTCTTTTTTTTTTTTTTTGAAAAATTTTTTTTTAGTTGTGGATGGACACAATATCTTTATTTTTATTTATTTATTTATTTTTATGTGGTGCTGATGATCGAATTCAGGGCCTAACACGTGCAAGGCAAGTGCTCTACCACTGAGCTACGTACGACCCCAGCCCATGGCTATGTTTTAATGAGGGAAACAAATTTAAATTTTTTATAATAGTTACATGTCATGAAGTATATTTCTGTTGAATTTTTCCACCCATTTAAAAATGTTAAAATCACTCTGTATGGGCTATACAAAAAGAGATGGCAGGCCAGATTTAGCCCCAAGGCCATAGTTTACCTATGCCTGTTTTAGTTTATAACTTAGATATTACTTTCTGAAATCTCCCTTTTGTGTGTTCCTTATGCAAGCCTGTCCTTAACAATTACATTCCAAAATTGTTACTGTTCTAAATTACATAGCTTGTCTATATCCTCCCCCATTAGATTGTGGGCTTTATAAAGGTAATTATTCTTTTCACAGTTAGTCTTACCACATAGCATTGCACCTGGCATTTTTAATTAATTAAAAAGATGTTCTCAGATTATAAAATGTATCATTTTTATTGAAAAATCAGGCAATTTTGGGGAGACTGAAGTAGGAGGATCAAAAGTTCAGGCCAACCTGGGCAATTTAGTGAGATCCTGTCTCAAAAGAAAAAAAGGGTTAGGGATGTGGCTTGGTAGTTAAGTGCTGCTGGGTTCAATCCCTGACACAAAAAAAAAAAAAAAGAAAAGAAAAGAAAAGAAAGGAAGAAATGCTTATTTTGTTCCAGGTACTGTGCTAATGGCTTTATTTACATGGATTATTTAATGAAATCCCCTTTTATGTTTGACAAAATGCACCAAGAAGAAATTTGCCCAGGTCAGACAACTGCAATGATTTAATGATTAATGATTCCAGAGTCCAGGCTCTCAGTCATATGATTATATTGCCATTCAGTATATGATGGAGTCATTGATACCGTGGTGATTCTGGTATTAATCTGCTGCTGTGATAAGAATTATTTGGGCATTTAGAAAATAAAAATAGATATTTAGATAAATTATCATTGGTTTATCTCTAATTACTCTCTTTTACAGGGAAATCTAGGAACCTTTTTTATTACCAATGTGAGAATCGTGTGGCATGCAAATATGAATGATAGTTTTAATGTCAGTATACCATATCTGCAAATTGTAAGTACATGTAGTTTGGTGACATTATTCAAGTGTAGAATAAATAATTTCTGTTCAACAGTTAATAGTGACATTGAGATTAGATGCATTCTCTCTCTTTCCTTTTTTATGTGGCATATTTTTAGTGGAAGATGGACATAACTTTATTTATTTTATTTATTTATGTGGGGTTGAGGATTGAACTTAGTGCCTCACATGTGCTAACCAGGCATTCCACCACTGAACCACACCTCAGCCCTCCAAACATTATTACAGCCAGAGAATTCATCAATTCTGTGAATGAACTGCTTAATTCTGATATAGAATGTAATGCATGCTGGATTCATACTCCAGGTTTAATGAAGAAGTCAAGATGATTTTTAGTGGTAATACTTTTAGCTTAAGTTCAATTAAAGCTATTAAACTTCAGAAAAAGAATTGACTATATCTGATATCAATTGTGAGTAGGTAGGTAGTTACTTTACTGCTGTGATATATATGTGATTCAGTGAAAGAAATAATAAACTCAATATACTTTTATATAAAAGTTCATTTTATATAAACAAACTATTAAATTCTAATCCGAATTAAATGGAACATAAAAATAGTAAATGAAAATCCTGTGCAGTTATCATATGATAATCATCCTTGTTGTAGGATACAAATAGTTTTAAGACTAAGAAGTTTGGGCTGGAGTTGTGGCTCGGTGGTAGAGCATTTGCTTAACATGTGTGAGGCACTGGGTTTGATCCTCAGCACCATATAAGAAGATAAATAAATTAAAAATAAAGGTATTATGTCCATCTACAACTAAAAAAATTATTTTAAAAAGACTAAGAAGTTTTGGGGCTGGGGTTGTGGCTCAGCGGTAGAATGCTCACTTAGCATGTGTAAGGCCCTGGTTTGATCCTTAGCACCACATAAAAATAAATAAAGTGTTTTTAAAAAAGACTAAGAAGTTTTATTAATATTCATTGAGTAGATACAGTATATGTAATATCTAGAAAACATCCTTTTTCGAAAAGAGAATTCTTGGCCTATGAGAAGGATATTTCTTTGCAAATATTCCCAAGCCTGTTTTGCTACATCTTGATTTCTGAGCAACTTTAAAATATCTGATCATTCATTCATTTGCCAAATATTAAGCATCTACTATGTACTAGAGATAGTCATGAAAAATCATAAACCAACACATAGTTCCTGCCATCAAGGAGTTCTCAGTCTGGTGGAGGAAAGCAAAACATAACATTTGATAGGAAGAAAATGATTTCTGGCCATCTAAAGAAATATGAGAATTTGTAATCAGGGTGGGAAGGTATGACAGTTTATATAGATATTTGATAAACCAGTGTTTTATACTGTTCATTGCTGTTTTATATTGCATTTGTATGTTCTATAGTTTGCCTAACCTAGCCTCTGTTATGCTGAATATTTACTGAGTAGTAAACAACCTTGTGCATTCCGTTCTTCAAATAGGATATTTTTTGTTATTTAAGAATAGAGTTGCCAAATACAGCCTCTGGAATGAATTCAACTGGCCCAAACAACTTGCAATATGATATCATCACACTTTGTCACTGTAGCAGTCATATTCTAACTTCAGCTCTTTATATATAAACTTCTTGCCACTTCTATCAGCCCGTGTCACCTAGATTACAGCCAGGGTGCCTGTGTTCTATGGTTCTGAACTGGAACTATGTAATGATGATATATATAAAGTAGGTGGATGAAAAGACTGGTTTTCATAAGAATTTACCATTAAAACCTTTCTCCTCTCTTCTTTCTTTTTCTCAATCTTTCTCTCAACTTACAGTGCCTGTCTGTCTGAAAGTGTGATATGCCATTACCTGCCACATATGACTAATCATGGGCCTTTGGGCTGTCATAATATTAGGTTCTCTCCACGGTTCTCCCTTTCTTCATCAGCTAGTACATCTTATATCTCTTTCTGTAGGCCCTATCATTATGCTTCTACTCCTCTTCCTTCCTCTCAACATTAGTATCTTCCTTCTGATCAATCTTAATCCTCATGTCACATTTATCAACTAATGTCAATTGCACTTTATCTATCCCAGCCTTTCTTGATGGCCAGTGATGAGTACCAATAAACTTATTTTTTTTAATTAGTGGATATGGACATTTTTAGAATTTAGTCACCTGGAACATGAGAAACAGTAGGCACATATGACTTTTAAACTAATCCAGCCTTAGGAAACCACAAAAGACACTGGATCATCATAACCGAAAGATCGTTGGACTTTTGTGTAAAATATTGAGAAAAGTTGCTGATTCCATTGAATTGAAGGATATTTGAGTCAGACAATTGGGTACATATTTTAGAGATATCATCTTTGTATTTTATTACAAGTTTGCCACCTTATATGTGGGTCTTGTTCATTTATGAGCTCTCTGGGGGTTTCATAAAGGAAGGTAAGATATTCTATTCTTGAGATTATGAAATAAAGACATGCATTTTTTTTCTTCTTCATTTTATATCCAGCGTTCGATAAAGATTAGAGATTCAAAATTTGGTTTAGCTCTTGTCATAGAAAGCTCTCAACAGGTAAGATGTTTTACATTTTTATTAATCTTTTGTAGGCTTTTAAAACTATGTGATGCTGTAGGTTTTTAATTTTATGTATATAGTAAGCAGTTTACATCCAAGAAGAATATTACTTATAATATGAAGGTATATCAAGTGTTTAAAGTGTTATAGTAAATTGTCTCCATAGAAGAATCCTATGTTTTTTAGTTGGGACAGATAATCATTATCGTTATGATCATCATTTTTATTTTTATTTGCTTGCAGTACTGGGGATTGAACTCAGGGTCTCACACACTTTAGGCAAACACTCTACCACTGAGCTACATCCCTACTTCTTTTTATTTTATTTTGAAGACAAGGCCTCTCACAGTTGCTGAGGCTAGCCTGGAACTTCTAATCCTCCCAAATAGCTGATATTTTAGGACTGTGCCACTACATCCCACTCACTTTTATTATTAATGATAGAATCAAGTCACTGTGCTAAATGCTTTTCATACATTCACCCAATCTAACAACTCTATGGTACACTTACTATTTTTCACCACTTGACAGTGAAGGAAACAGGCCTAGAGAAGTTACGAACCTTACTCATGACCTCAGGTCTGATTCACAACAAAACTTTCTTTACATAGATATATATAGAAACATATATATCCATTCTGTTTGAGAATTTATATTCTCACATATGCCATGTTTTTGCAGGAATTTTTCTTGGGGGGAGGGTACTTGGAATGGAGCCCAAGGGCATTATGCCACTGAGCTCCATCTAACCCTTTTTATTTTTTATTTAAAAGACAGATTCTTGCTAAATTGCTAACACTTGCAGTTCTTATGCCTCAGCCTCCCATATTGCTGGGATGACAAGCGTGCACTACCATGTCCAGATGCAGAAATATATTTAAATAAAACATTTAAAATGCATTTTTTTTAAAAAGTGAGTGATAAGGGCTGAGTTTATAGCTCAGTGGTAGCATACTTACATAGCATGCACAAGGCCCTGGGTTCAGTTCCCATTTCTGGGGGAAAGAAATTGAGTTATAAAATCACTTCTAAATTAAAATACCAATGTCTACTCACTCCTTTACCGTGACCTATATCTCTGTTTACTGAGTGCTTACTATGTCCCAGGAACTGTATCAAGTGTCATATATATCTTATATAAATAAAACAACTTGATCAAGCATTTTGTGTTAGAAAATTAAGGCTTAGAAAGGTTACGGAAAGTAAGTTTCCAGGCATCATACAGCTTGTAAATTAATCGTAGAATCAGAATTTGACACTAAAAAGTGTATGCTCTCAACCCAAAGCAAATGCTCTTACCAGTTATAGTATGCTACTTTCTAACATTTCTCTCTAACAACCTATCCTAGTCAAGTTTCTTTCCTAATTTTTTAAGGAGATAGCCTAAGGCCACTTCTTTTCTTCTTTTAATATATATTCCTTTTCAAGGCCTAGCTCTAGAAAAACTTAAGTTTCCTTGGCCTTCACAATCTATAGTTTTTTTTTTTTTTAATATTTGAAGATCAGCTTATATTTACAAATGAAATCATGTGATATCTGGACATGCTTCAGAGTAATCCTGAGTGGTTAGGTGGATGGGAGATCAGGTAAGGGAGTAGTTAGAAAGTCAGCCACATGTTGCTACAGTTTGAAGTTCCATGATGATTGTGAGGGGGCTCATTGTACTCTCCTATTTTTATATGTATCTGAAATATTTCATAGTAAGGCGTTTAATTTTTAAAAAATCAAACTTATCGCTGGATGTGATGACGAATGCCTATAATCCCAGCAACTTGGGAGGCTGAGGCAAGAGGATCACAAGTCTGAGGACAGCCTCAGGTACTTAGGGAGCCTCTAAGCAACTTATTGAGACCCTGTGTCAAAAAATAAAAAGAGCTAGAGATGTGGCTGAGTGGTAAAGTGCCCCTGGGTTCAATTCCCTAGTACCAAAAAAATCAAGCTTACATGTTGTACTCTACAACATGTAGATGATTACAGCTAAAGTTTTATCATATACTACAAATGTCATTTCTTGGGCTTGTTTTTTTTGTTTTTCATTATTTTTTCTTGTAGAGTGGAGGATATGTTCTTGGCTTTAAAATAGATCCTGTGGAAAAACTACAGGAATCAGTTAAAGAAATCAATTCACTTCACAAAGTCTATTCTGCCAGTCCTATATTTGGAGTGGATTATGAAATGGAAGAAAAGGTAATTTGTTCAATATGTGAAATACAGAGTTTGCTGAATTGCCTTCCAACTTCCTGTAAAATTCAGGTATAAAAACATTCTGTACGGTTTAACTTTAAACTGTTTTAAATGATGAATATACAAACTCTGCTCAAGTAGGAATGGCCCCGGGACCACCTATAATTGGTGACCATTACCTGTTTTCTAGCAGGCTGCCTCTTCATCATTCTCCTATACCTGTCTTTTAGGTGATCAGCCTATCCAGAAAAACCTCTCTGTTCAGGGCTCCTCTGATGGGGACAGACGAGTCTCGCACTCTGTCAGCTTTATTTTCATTCAACAGAAGCCCCCCATTAGCATGGGCAAGCTTTCTATGCCTTATGGATACCATTATATTCTCCCTTGCCCTATAGTACAGCACCTGCCAGAGTCTGCTTTGTGAACATGGCCTGTATTTATCCCTATTAATCAGAGCTTCTGCCATACTAGCTTTAGTTTTTTATTTATTTATTTTGTTGTTGTTTTTGAGATGGTGTCTGTGTTCCCCAGGCTGGTCTTGAATGCCTGGGCCTGAACGATCAATCCACCGCCTCAGCTTTCCACCATGCCCAGCTAGTTTTGAAATATTTTGAATATTATGCCTATACATCTGCTCTTTCCCTTTCTCATGATTTCTTATTGCTGTCTGAGTTCCTGCTCTCTAGGTATTTCAACTCTCTCTTGGTGTGACTTACCTCTTCAGCTGGGATCCTGGCCATCCAGTCTGTCACTGGTGTCTTCATTGTATACTCTGTCACTGATACTCTTACCAGAGGCTCTGCCTCTGGTGCCCTTGCTATCTGCTGTACCGTTGGGATCCTCACTGTCCATTCCATCAGAGGTGCCCTCACAATCTGCTCTATTGTCACTGCCCTTTCTGTCTTCCCTGTCATGATCCCATCACTGACCACTCTATCACAGGTTCCTTTGCTCTCTGTTCCTTTGCTGGGGCCTTCGCTGTACTCTCTAGTGCTGGTGGCCTTTCCATCCACTCTTTAATCAGTGCCCATGGTGATATTCAACCTGTGGAGCCATATCAGTGGTAAAGCACCCTTGGATTCAATCCCCAATACCAAAAAAAAAAAAAAAAAAAGAAGAAGAAGAAGAAGAAGAAGAGAAAAGAAAAAGTGAGAGTTTTTTTCTTTTTTTTTTCCTGTTCCTTCTTTCTTTCCTTCCGCCCCCCTCCCCCATCTACACTTACCATCCCACAAAGCCCTGGATTGAACACAGGGCTCTGTGCATTGGTAGGCAAGCACTTCACCACTGAGCTATGTCCCTGGCCCTGAGAGTTTTCCCTTTAAGAATCCCCCCTAAGGACTGGGGCCTTAGCTCAGTGGCAGAGCGCTTGCCTAGCATGCCTAGCATGCTTGAGGCACTGGGTTTGATCCGCAGAACCACGTAAAAATAAACAAATAAAATCCATCTACCACTATTAAAAAAAAAAAAAAAAAGGAATTCCCCCTAAGCATACAAATTTGTGTAAATCCCACTCTGGAACTTTTTGATGATGTTGACTAAATATTTAAAAGCTTAGGTTTAACTATTTTATTACTTAAGTTAGTATTAACAACAGAAGAATGTAAGACTCAATCAGTTATAATTGTTATCTTTTTACAAGCATTTATGGCTCTCAAAGTACATTTTTCTAAAATGATTTAATTAATATTGTTTCTGATGCATTTGACAATTGTTGATTTTTTTTTTTTTTTTTTAAGCCACAGCCCCTTGAAGCTCTGACAGTTGAACAAATTCAAGATGATGTAGAAATAGATGCTGATGATCACACGGATGCTTTTGTGGTGAGCGTCTGAAAGGAGAACTATTAAATTTCTTATGATTTGTATCTTAGTCATATTTAATTAAATAATGTTGTGTGTAAAACACTGTAGAACTCGAGCCTTTTGACATGAGTTTGAGGATAACTTTTTTTAGGTGAGGGAATTTCTTTTTGTTACAGTACTTTTAAATTACCAAAGCAGGAAATAGTTTTGAGAATAGTATTCAGAGGATTTTAGACATGTGAAAAGCTTCTTCGTACTTTAGTATAAAAGAATGTTAAATATTATAGTTAATTAAATTAATTTAAAATCTATGCTGTTCATAGTTAATTTTTATGAGATGCTTCCCTTAATTTATATTAATTTTAGGAAAGCATATGTATTTGAAGAATAAGCTTTCCTATTCTGAATTGGTATTAGTTAACTAATAGACAATATAATAATAACGCTTTCTCCATACTGTGGTCTATGAGTCTGACCAGAATACCTCTCTGGTAACAAATATTTTCACATGCATTTGCTGACACATTGAAGTATTGATTGCTTTGTTTTGTTTTGCCACCATCTTCTACCAAAAGTAAAGAAGAAATGTTATAGCTCTTATGTTATTCTTTTTATCTCCCTTCTACTTGGCAATGCTAATTATACATTAATTACAAAGCACATTTGTTTATAAAACTTAAAGCATAACTCTTATAGACATTAATATTGATTGACAGGAGAAATAAATTTTGAGGCCAGGATTATAGAGAAGAGAAAATCATTATTATACAATAACAATGTATGTAATACATTTAGTTACAAAATCATTCTGCAAACTAATTGCCTATTCCTTAGCCCACTGATCTATTTTATGTCATATTGACATGTAATTTTCTTTATCTTTTAGGCTTATTTTGCTGATGGCAATAAGGTAAGAAAATTTTAGCTATAGTATATTTTTTGAAGTTTCTATATTCCAACATTTAGCATTCACAAACTTATGTGAAACCTATTTTTTGTTTTTTTCCTCTTCCTTGCCCACCTTCTCTATTCCCCATCTTATCCTCTTACCTCCCAAAAAGCAACAGGATCGTGAACCTGTATTTTCAGAAGAACTGGGGCTTGCAATAGAGAAATTGAAGGATGGATTCACACTACAGGGACTTTGGGAAGTAATGAGTTGATCTTGAGTTGAGCTGGATTTCTATTTAAAGATATCTCAAGATTACAGACACTAGTCGCCTACTATAAGGCATGGAATAGTTTTTATATTTACAGCTTTTATATTTAAAGCTTTTAAGAGAGTTTTTTAATGATTAAGAAAAAATATTTTTAGAAAACTCTGTTTTCTAAAAATTATATCTAAAATTGTAATTGAAATGTATCTAGCTTGTAAAATGTTTATTTTGTATCTAATACTTGTATAAGTTTCCAGATTTTAAATAACTGTTATTATGTTGGGTTTAATAAAGAATTTATGCAGCACCATTTAATGTTTTGAAAGTATTATTTTAAAAAATAAGTATTCTTATGAAATAATCAAAAAATTCCTTTTAATTATAAAAATCTACTTTAAATGTATTATCACATAACTCCAAATGTAAGCCAACTCTAATACAAATTACAAACTTTGAACATGTCATTTTTAGGGGATCATTTTTGTAAAAACTAAAAAACAATTATAACTGTGGTGTACCTCAATCTCTCTGTAAATGTTTTGTATGCTAGTTTATAGATAATTTCAATATAGTTTCGGCAAGAGTAGATTGTTCTTGTAAGGAAATAGTTTTGTCCACTTAAGGACTTTTTTCTCACTTTGATTCATTGAAATGTTTTTTGAGTTTTAAAAAATAATCTATTATTTTTCTGATTTCTTGGTTAGGTATAATTTGGTGACCTCTCTGGCACCATTCAGTGTTCTTGGCTACTATTTCAGTTTAAAAAACATTGTACAGAACCTTTGTCAAATAATTGAAATTAGCCAAAGTAGTCCTCTTTCCCTAATGGGAAAGGAATGAGTATATAAAAACATTTACAATAAGATGCAACTATGTGTCCAAATATTGACAGACACAGGAGGCATAGTGCTAACCTGAGTTTATTAAAAATCAATGAACAAAAACTTCAAGGGAAAAGATTTCCACATTTTTAAGAAATGTTATAATAACCTATATTAGGGAGTCACAAATAAAATACCACCATAAATATTATTTAAATACTACTTTTTAAGCAAAAGAGGCTTTATAAAATTGCCAGCTACTAAGGAATTATCTCAAATGTCATATCAAGGAGTTTGCATCTGACTCACTAATCTTTTCAAAATGTTAGGTGTTACGTGTAGGGAGAAATAAATGAGTCATTTATTGTTTAAACAAGGGAGCAGCTGTTGGTTTTTTTCTAGTGTGTTAAAACCTTTAGTGACATCTATAAATGGAAAAAGAATCAATGAGCTCTTCTTTCAGCTGTTGTTTTAGCAGCTGACAGTACCATTGACTTCACTGTGATGTAAAATAAAAGAAAAAAGCCTTTACTCATGAATAGAAACCTTGAAGGTTAAAAATACATAATTCTCTGATCTGGGGGCATTCATCATTCAACAAATATTTATGGAGCACCCATAAGGCCTACAGACTATAGCATTGAACAGCACAGAATGAACAAAACCTGTCTTCATGGAGCTTCTGTTCTTTGGGGCACATTTAAGAATACCAACTTTTGAAATTATAGTATTTCTAAAGCTCTGCTGAGTTCAGATTATGATTATGTAATAAAGTGTTTTGTGAAGAAGTATATACTATCTATGTATGGGCAAAGGTTCAATTGTTTTAAATCATGACTCATACATCCCATAATACAGTGTTCCCTTATAATCAATACTTATATGGGTGTATGTGCATATATAATAAAATACATATTTTACTTTATATAAAATTAAAATTATATATATTTACATATATATTTTTTAAATAAGATCTGTTTTCTAAACCCTATGGCTGATGTAGCACTTCATTCTGATTTTGCTGTGTTCTGTTGATGACATTGTTCTCATAGGGTTATATCTGTCCTGTTTCTTAACTTTTACTTAATGAAAGATAATTTCAACACTGAAAATTACAAAATATCTGTAGTGATCACATTTGTGTGTGGGGGTCTTTCTCTAGTGTTGATGTTTGCCTATTTTTCTCCAGTCTGAATGATTTATTCTTTTGCCTTCATTTTAATTAGTATTATTTGCCACATTCAATCCTTTGCACAACAAGGCAGGTGTGAATAAATTAATTTTATAATTTAATTCAGTACTCCTTTTAATTTTCTCACTAATGAAGTTTTGTCAGTTTATTTATATATTTAAGACATTATTTTAAAAATTAGTTTCTCTATATTGTGATTTCTGTTTTGATGAAGATATCATTTCAAAGGTTTTATAAAACTGTAATTATATTACATAAGTAAACACCTTTAAGTTTCTTACTTAGATCTATACCCCACTGTTTTGAGTAAAAGATAAAAAATGTGTAACAGTTATTGGAAAGGGGATCTTGCTTATGAGAAGTCAAATTAACTCACTTCATATTCTTGACCTTTGCATCATTAATTCAGATAGCCAAGTAGCTTGCCACTAGACCATTTTTAGAGGAGTGAATCATTTTTATGATTCATTTTTCTGTTGATTCAATAAACATTTTCTTGTGGTAGCCTTTATTAGTTTATCTTCTAATACTTTATGCATTTTAAAGCTTTCCACTTAAATGTCTTGTTTCTTAGCTGTTTCCTTAGTGATTAAAAGTTCCAGTTGTTACTATCAATCTGTAACAGCTGCAAGAACAACTCTGCTTTCCAAACTAGCTCTCCTAAATTCCCGTTGTTAGAGTTGGTATCTATATTTAGCTGGTGGGATTAAATTGCAAAGGCTTCAAGCTGGGCAAAGCACACTGATCTGCCTTTTTACAGCTAGACCTGTGTGCTGCAAGGAGCTAAGGCCTTCAGTGTCCCCTTCCTTACCCAGGTTACTTACAAAATGGATTCCCAGCGGGAACTTGCAGAGGAACTGCGGCTTTACCAATCTACCCTTCTTCAGGATGGTCTAAAAGATCTCCTGGATGAGAAAAAATTCATCGATTGCACCCTAAAAGCCGGTGACAAAAGTCTTCCTTGCCACAGATTGATTTTGTCCGCTTGTAGTCCTTATTTCCGTGAGTATTTTTTATCTGAAATTGATGAAGAGAAAAAAAAGGAGGTTGTACTAGATAATGTAGACCCTGCTGTGCTTGATTTGATCATCAAATACCTGTACTCTGCCAGTATCGATCTCAATGATGGAAACGTGCAAGATATTTTTGCATTGGCCAGTCGCTTTCAGATCCCCTCAGTGTTCACTGTCTGCGTTTCTTATCTTCAGAAAAGACTTGCTCCTGGTAACTGTCTAGCCATCCTAAGATTAGGACTTCTTCTTGATTGCCCGAGACTTGCCATTTCTGCTCGTGAATTTGTGTCTGAACGCTTTGTACAGATTTGTAAGGAAGAGGACTTTATGCAGCTGTCTCCACAGGAACTGATCTCAGTCATTTCAAATGACAGCCTAAATGTAGAAAAGGAAGAAGCAGTATTTGAGGCAGTAATGAAATGGGTGCGAACAGACAAAGAAAATAGGGTGAAAAATCTTAGCGAAGTGTTTGATTGTATTCGTTTTCGCCTAATGACAGAAAAATATTTTAAAGATCATGTTGAGAAAGATGATATCATCAAAAGCAACCCAGAACTTCAGAAAAAAATCAAAGTTCTAAAAGATGCTTTTGCAGGCAAACTCCCAGAACCTAGCAAAAATACAGAGAAGACTAAGGAGGGTGAGGTGAATGGTGATGTTGGTGATGAAGATTTGCTTCCTGGTTACCTGAACGACATTCCCAGGCATGGAATGTTTGTCAAAGACCTTATCCTATTGGTTAATGACACAGCCGCAGTAGCTTATGATCCCGCAGAAAATGAATGCTACCTTACTGCACTGGCTGAGCAGATCCCCAGAAATCATTCCAGCATTGTTACCCAACAAAATCAAGTATATGTGGTAGGAGGACTATATGTGGATGAAGAAAATAAGGATCAACCTCTACAGTCATACTTTTTCCAGGTAAGAAAGACTATTTAAGTAGAGGTATAAAGGTAAGGCTGTTTTTCAACATCCAATTAGCTAGTTTGTGAATTATCCAGGCTGTTTGCATCATATTCAACTGATATCCTATTGTATGTAGTCCCTTGCACTTTTACTACTTAGGGAAATGACAAAAATATTCGATTGCTTGTCAATATTTAATAAAAGGTTTGGTGCAGAATTGCTTTATAGTCTTACCCAACATATGTTTATTGTTGATGGTAATTATAATCCTTCAAAGTCCAGTTGTTTAGTGAAAACTAATTTTGTATACTCTTCCCTGAAAAATAGATAAGTCTTTTCCTAAATCAAATTCTTTCTCTAGATCAAAGTACTTTACACATTATAAAGTGATAACTGGTCAAATTTTCTTTTTCTCCCAGTTTCCTTTTTTCCTAAAGTTGAAGTTTTGAGAGGTTGCATTTCATCTCTTATTTATGGCTACTGCCTAAAAGATAATTTTGTTCAAAATGAAAAGAACTTATATACATATTCTATACACTTTGGATTACCTTATAGAAAAACTGCACAAGTGTCACTGATTTGAGTTATACTTAGAAGTTTCTGTTTATTTTATCACATTTATTTGGATCAGTTATAATCAGACATTATTTCAACTTAATGATCTGTTTAAAAAAAAAAAGGGAAAAGCAATCTTTTGTGTTACCACAGAAATTTATAGGAAAATAAGTCTTCCTAAACTAATAAACTCTCTGTAGTTTGTTTGAAGGGAATTTGATTCATGATATCAACACATTATAGTTTGTCAGTTTATGAAGGAAACAGTGGCTTAACCTTTATCTTAAATAATACCAATACCAATACTATGTAGGTTACAACTATCTCAGAAGAGTTTGTTTAGATCATAGCTAATCATGGCTTGGGGCTTCTGGCACTGAGTTGGAAAGGCCAAAGATAAGCAAGTGTAGAATGTCATACCACAGTCACAATATGCTCTCAAAATATATGACATACTATGCATTCACCAAATACTACCTTTGATTTTTCTGGCCTTGGAAAATAAAGTCATAATAATACATATGAATCATGTTTCTTAATTTTCAAAATTCCAGTAAAAAATATCATAAACAGGGAGCTGTAGTCATGCTCAGTGGTAGAGCACTTGCTTAGTATGTGTGAGGCACTGGGTTCAATCCTCAGCAACACATAAAAATAAATAAAGGTATGTGTCCATTCACAACTAAAACTTTTTGTAAAAAAATCATAAACATTTGAATATGAAGCAAACTTCACAAGCGCTACTTTTAAATTCAAATAAGCTTCAAAAAGGGAAAATACAATGAAAAAGACTATAAACATAGCCAGGAGGTAAAAATAT